CCAAGAGGGCACTTGAGGGCACTTTAGCACGTGTTTTGGCTCCCAAGAGGGCACTTTAGCACGCGTTTTGGCTCCCAAGAGGGCACTTGAGGGCACTTTAGCACGCGTTTTGGCTCCCAAGAGGGCACTTGAGGGCAGTTTAGCACACGTTTTGGCTCCCAAGAGGGCACTTTAGCACGCGTTTTGGCTCCCAAGAGGGCACTTTAACACATGTTTTGGCTCCCAAGACCAAGAGGGCACTTTAGCACGTGCACATGCAAATATGTCTCTGGTTCTGAGATTTTTGTCTCATAGTCAATAGGGCTTCCTTCTCCTGTAAATGTCAAAGAGGAAAAGGGTCTTCCACCACTCATTAAATTTGTCTGTGCAGATCTATTTAAAAATGTGAATAAAGGGAGATCAAGTAAGAGTGTTATTTTTCCACAAAATATGTTATGTTGCGAGTGTAAATTTTGGTTGCTTGTGAAACCATGGAAACATGTTACACAAGGAACTGAAAATACATGTGGCTACATAGCAACCCGTGTTAGATGTTAAACAGCCAGTTGTAATCAACACTTACAATCACACTTCAGTGATGCATTTCCTGTAATGATAGCAGGGAGACAGACCTGTAGTATAAAATGAACTATTTTTGGAAGATTCATTAATTATTTATGATGTTAATACAGAGATAAAATAGCATAAGAATACTTTCCACTCACTGGTGTTTGAGCACCTGACGGAAAGGTTTTTTATGGTTTGAACCTTTGCCTCCTTTTGCAGCTTCTGGTTTCGACTAAGAGCGGTTGATATCACCACATTGTAGGTTAGTGTGCCAGTAACATTTGGGCCCAGATACACTGGAGGTCATATCATATGTCCTCGCGCATAAAATAAGATAAGATAAGATATGTACTTTATTATTCCCCTATTGGGGAAATTGTTTTTTTACTCTTTTATTTTTATACACACACACACACACACACACACACACACAGGCTGACCTTCCGGTTCCCAAGCCCAGTCCCTACAGACTGAGCTACTGCCGCCCCAAATCTGGTTGTAACAGAGAAAACAGGATGGGATTTATCCCATATACATATCTCAAATCTCTGAAAAAGATTCTGCTCGGGTGCCTGGTTAGCTAAGTCGGTAGAGCTGGCGTCCCATGTACCGAGGCTGAGT